CGCGGACTCATGCAATCCACTCACCTCAGCCTCCCAAAGGCGCGGGATTACAGGCTGAGCCACCGAGCCCGGCTGGCAAGGTTTTTTTATTAGCAAAAATGTGACTTGGTCCTGGAGTGCATCTAGTTAGATGTTCACTGTCAGTCAACAGGAGTGTAATTAATACCATCCACCTTTCTGAAAAGCAGTATAACAGAAGACGTCAAAAGCTTTAAATATATATATACCCTTTAGCTCAGGAATTCCCTTCCAGTGCACTAGCCCTAGGAAGGTATCTGAAATGCCAACAAAAATCTGGGCATAAAATGCTCATTATAGCATCATTTAAAACAAGAGGAAATACCACAAAACCTAAATGTTCAGTTGTAGATAAAAAATAGTCAAGTTATTTATGGGTGATTCTACTATAAAATAGTATTTTTTTTTCCTCTTAGTCTAGTGTCTCATTCTGTTCCCCAGGCTGGAATGCAGTGGCATGATCACAGCTCACCACAGCCTCCACCTCAGTGCTCAGGCGATTCTTCTGCCTCAGCCTCCCAAGAAGCTGAGACTACAGGCATGCACCACCATGCCTCGCTACTTATTATTATTTTTTTTTTTTAGAGACAAGATCTCACTGTGTTGCCTAGGCTAGTCTCAAACTCCTGGGTTCAAGTGATCCTCCATCCTTGGCCTCCCAAAGTGCTAGGATTATAGACATGAGCCACCTTGTCTGACCAGTATCATGTAATCGTAAAGCTCAATCCCAATATATTTTCTGAGTTTTCGGTTCCATTTTCACATAAAATGCATCAGATTACCTAAGAACAATTTAAAATACATTTAAATAGTAACACAGTTTAAGGCTTTCTTTCATCACACCATTCAGAAATTCTGGCATCCTTTTAAAGCAAATTACTCCTCATAGTGATGAATTTCATATTTAATTTATAGCCTTAATTATATATTTTCCTTACCTCATCCAATTTAAAATTTTATTGAACCTTTTCTTAAATAGCCTTTTAAAGTTTTTATAGTTCCAGGTTGATTGCCTAATGCTTTGTTTCTCAACCATTTTTTCATCATCACTTCCCTAAGGAGCCTTTTTTAGACTTTTTTCTCCTGAATCATGAAATTTTAATATCTGTTTATATACTGTATGTATATCCACACTTTATATATACAGAGGGTGCCAGAAAATGTATACACATTTTAAGAAAGGAAAAACTGTACTAAAATGGTAATACTCAATATATACCAATAACAAAAGATGAATACAAGTCATGTTTGACTTCTGCAATTACAAGAGGTGCTCAAAGTGGTTACCATCAGCGTCCAGACACTTCTGATTATGGCAAACTAAAGGTAATACATAGATAACGTCTCTTAAAATGTGCATCCATTTTTTTGGCACCCGTGGTATAAAGAGTAAGTTTTTTTTCCACACTTTGGAAGCAATATTGCCCCGCTACCCCCCATCCCCTGAGAACTCATGGCTTAATGGGATTAAGGGTCAATGTTATTTTAACTTTTACAATGACTCACAAGCCCATGTGTTTTGTTTTTATAGCTGCCTGCCTCTCAAACATCACATGGTGACCACTCCAACACTACTACTGTGGGGAGAGAAAGATGCATTTATGGAGGTGGAGATGGCTGAAGTCACAAAAATTTATGTTAAAAATTATTTCAGGCTAACTATTTTGTCAGAAGCCAGTCATTGGCTTCAGCAAGACCAACCTGACATAGTGAACACTTTGATATGGACATTTCTAAAAGAAGAAACAAGAAAAAAAGATTGACTTTTCCTTATCTTCTATGAGGGACCTGTAATGAAATCTCTAAATAATTTCTAAAAATTGTTCATCAACCTCTTTATGTTTTATTAGGAAAAACTGTTTTAATATGCTGTATTATAAATAAATATTCTGACAAATGGTATTGAAAAAAACTGAGATTGTGTGAACTTGTAATATAATGTTGATTTTCTTCTGTTGTATTTTGCACAGAAAAGCTTCTGCCTTAAAATGCATACACTTGTACAAAAAGGAAGTTGGGGAACATGGCTTATTTTGGGGTTCTTGCTTTTTTTACTCTGTTAATACATGGTGCCTTTTACAAATGTATATTACAGATTAGCTGTGCCATATTAAAAAGCAAACCTGCAATGATATACATTTTCATTTTATTGTTCAAAAGTTCTTTTTACTATTTTTTTAACCATTAAAAATTCCGTTATCAATTCTCGTGGGTTTATGCTATATCTATTAGTTTGAAGGCAAATATAACTAGGTGAATACGCATTCTTCATATGGGCCATAAACATTACTTATACTTGGAAGATTAAACTTTTAAGAAACTGACATCTTGTCACATCAACCAAGAGATGATGTGGAGATTGTTATACATATAAACACACATATATGATACACATTGCAAAGCAGGAAAGCTTATTTGTTCAGTTCTTGCCTTAATTGGTGAGAAATTTAGAAAAAGGATCCAATTTTTTTTTTTGCCTCATTCACTACAAAAAGAATGGAATCCTGGACTTTCTATGTGTTCTAAAATCTGAGCTCCACAGGGCAGGAATTTTTGATTGCTTTGTTAGCCAATATATACCCAGAGTCTAGAATAAGGGTCAGGCACATTGTAATCATTCAAATATTTTCTTAATGAGTAGAGAGTATATCGGACACACTGCTAGGCACTGGGGGGAAACAGAAAAGAAAGATGACATGGTAACATGAAACTTTCCCTTAAGAAGCATACACAGAATGCAGTTAAATTAAACGACCGGGCGCAGTGACTTACGCCTATAATCCCAGCACTTTGGTAGGCCAAGGTGAGAGGATTGCCTGAGCCCATGGGTTCGAGACTAACCTGGGCCACTTGGCAAAACCGTCTTTCTACAGTAAATTTAAAAAAGTAGCTGGGCGTGGTGGCACATGCCTGTAGTTCCCACTATTGGGAAGGCTGAGGTGGAAGGATCATCTGAGCCCAGCAGGTTGAGGCTGCGGTGGTCGTAAGCAGCATGCCACTGCACTCCAGCCTGGGCGACACAGTGAGACTCCGACTAAAAAAAAAATATTAAATTAAACAAGGGTTTAAGAGTAGAAATGGGCATTACAAGTAAGAGTGGGAGAAGAAAGCCGGGCTCGGTGGCTCAGCCTGTCATCCCGCGCCTTTGGGAGGCTGAGGTGAGTGGATTGCCTGAGCCCGCGGGTTCGAGACCCGCCTGGGCAGCGAGACCTCATCTCTACAATAAATCAAAAAATCAGCTGGGCGTGGTAGCGCATGCCTGTAATTCCGGCTACTCGGAAGGCTGAGGCAGAAGGATCGCCGGAGCCCAGCAGGTCGAGGCTGCGGTGGCCGGGAGCGGCCACTGCACTCCAGTCTGGGCGACAGAGTGAGACTCCAACTCAAAAAAAAAAAAGAGTGGGAGAAGAGTTACTGGAGAGAGAACAATACCAGCTCAAGAGACTACAACTCATTCTCTTGGGTTGTGCTCCTTTGGCGTGGGAGACAGTCAGTAACGTTACCAAATCACATCACATTAGAGACTGAAACTGTGCTCTAAAGAGTTAAAAAGATAACAATAACTCACAGAAAGTCTTGAGGTTGCATATAAGGAAAAGAAATTTTTGCTGAACCACCCTCTGCTTGTGAGACTAAGAAACGAGGCCAGGAGCAGTGGCTCAAGCCTGTGGGAGGCCGAAGTGAGAGGACTGCCTGAGCCCAAGGGTTCGAAACCAACCTGAGCAATTTGGCGAGACTTCATCTCTACCATAAATCAAAAAATCAGCCAGGCTCGGTGGCTTAGCCTATAATCCCAGCACTTTGGGAGGCTGAGGTGAGTGGATTGCCTGAGCCCGTGG